ATTGAGTTTCAGAAGATAATACAAATCTATTTTTTTAAGAGTTAAGTTGCTGGGAGCACCACAGCTCCCTCAACTTCACAGGAGACTGAAATAATTCAAACCAGAAACAACATTTAGTTCCACAGGATTCAGTCTGCAGGCTGAAAAGTTGCATCCCCTTTTTGTTGCAAACTTTAAAGATTCTATTAAGTTGAGAGATAAAGAAGGGAGACAATATGTCAAAAGCTTTGTTGTCAGAAGGAAAAGAGTCATCATAAGACACCACATGTTTGTCGTAAAGCCACATTTAAATGACATTCCTATCTGTGCATTGTAGGGCTGTTTCTCAACTATTTGGTATTTGCAACAACCCAAGTCTTCGATACAGGCACAACACTACAACATTGTTTAATACAAATGTTCTTTGCAGCCTCTTTCCTATCTCAATCTGAGTCCTAACATCAGTTTCAAAACTGCTGAAACACAAACCAAGCACTGGATTAAATTATAGCTGAAAGCCTAAATGGAATGTGGAGGTTTGAAGCCAAATGTTCATTCTCTCCCACAAATAATAGTTAGCACTCTGTCCTCACAGCAAAGTTTCTAAATAATGTGTTCCCAGCCTTCAGGGTACATGTGTCCGAGAGCACGGCTAAATCACAGCACACACGCACTGCCAATGCATACATCACACAATCCTCTGTATAAACTTAAAGGTCAGAGGTAATAAACTGTGTTTGTTGGGCAGCTTGAAAGAACAGAGGAGGTTACTGGTTCATACATTAACTTCTCAGAGATCAAAGTTCAGTCCTGGTTTGACGCATCGTAACCCACAAACACAGAACTTGCATCGACTTTACCCTAATTGGCGGATCGTGGGGCGAATACTTACAACAAACAACTGTGGATTTAGGTTATCACCCTTAAACATTTAATCATTCAGAGTTCTCTTAACTGGGAGAAGCATTGATATGCGAGTTCACCTTTAAAGACGACCATGAGAAGACACTATCTCTGTTAGTTAAGAATGAGTAGTGAACTGAAATGTGTGTTTAGGGCACAAAAAACTAACACACCTGACTGCCAAGGATCTGAGTTTAATATATTTACTTTCATCGAGGTAGCGTCTTCTATGTTGTGGCATTATTTATTACATGGGTAGGAAAACAATGTGCTTCCTGTCCTTGTAATAAATAATGGGAAAATATGACATTCTATAACTTGAGAAACTAAGGCTGCGAGAGAAAATATATCACTATAAATAGAAATCGCTTTTCTTGCAAGACGTAAAATATTTCACCAAATGGCTTGAAATCCAGAACATTGTTGTTCGTGCACATTTTTCGATAGCTCAGCCTAAATTATTTTATAGGTTCAAAAAAACCTTTCAACACAAAGTGTGGAATCACAAAGAAAATCCACAATCGCGCAGACTGAACTCTACCGGATTGCATTTTTCAGTGTCGTGGAAATGTCAGTGTCGTGGAAATGTCAGTGTCGTGGAAATGTCAGTGTCAGAACAGTGAGGATCCATTAAGGATGAGGTGTAATAAGGTCCCAAAAACTAAAAGTAGCACAAGCTCAGACAGCAGGAACAAGGTCACGCACGGTGTTAGTGCAGACAAAACAAAAGCCTGTGACTGGACTAAAAAGTGGGCATAAAGGCCAAATGTTGAGCTTGTAATCATGGTTTTGAATTCAGAACCACACTGGGAATCTCTGCCAGAAAACACATCAACAAGAAGCACTCTTGAGACGGACATTAATACCGTACTAAGTATGCTTAAATGAACTATTCAAAAGGCAATTAAACTTTATCAACATAAATAGATTAACCCAGTGGAACGTGGTAATGTCAACAAACATACAACTAGATTTGTGGTGCATGGACAGGATTGTTCGAGCCAAATTAAAGTGCATTTCGCTCTTCACTTTCACTCAGGCTCTTTACAGCTGTGTCAACATGATGCTACCTCCTGCTGCTGCTGCTGTTGGAGGTTCCGCTAGGATAGAATATGTTAGAAAAACACTACATTACTTTCACATTTCTTAAATAATTGCCGCCTTAGACCCCTTTTTACACTGTGCTGCAGCATAGTTTCATAGAATCAAGGAACGTATTTGAAATGATCTTTTTCTCTATACATTTGTTCAGCTTTTGTGACCTAACCATAGATACTTTACTACAAAAACGTTATTTTGTAAAGAGAATGTTCTTGGCCAAAGAACTGTGGAAAAAATGAGAGGTCAATATCCTATGAAACCCTAAGCCTTTTGTTCTCTGTAGAAAGCATAGCAGAACTAGTAGATACTTCATATCATACACTGCAATTTTATAACAGTTCTATTCAATGTTAGCTTGTTTTCATTCGTGTTCTCTTGGCTTTTTTAACGACTGTTTTGAGATGAACTTAAATGTCATTATTTTATGATGCTTTTTTTATTTTTACACAGAATGTTTGCTTTGGATTTACTTTCCTGCTCTTTTTATAACGCTTACTAGAAGGGGTCTTGTGTATAAATGCTATTTTAAAAAATGTAATTACAGGTATGTAAGCAAGGGGCTGCTAATGGCATGAGAGCCACTGGAGTGACCTAGTGCTCTCCTTTACTAGACCGTCTTTGACCTCCCAATACCTTGAGGGAATAGCAGCTTAACATGCTTGACATTCATGATTGTGCTGAACACACGCTAATCGCAGTGGGATTAATCTCATGAACTATAACTACATTATCATGATCACCAGCAGTCAGTGCTGTGAGGCCCGGTGGAATAGCACTTCCTTAATCTGATGCATTTCCTGTTGACATGTGACAGCCAGGCAGGTCTTAACAGGGTTGAAAAACACTGGAATACCATTTGACAGGAATATTTTTATATGATGGAGTAGAGGAGCCACGGTTTAATAGATGAATTGAGCATTCTCACCCTGACTTCCTGTGTACTAGCCGCATCTCTAACTCTTACACCTGTCATCATAGATATTTGTAGGATGGTGCCATGGCAGTATGAGAAAGACAATGTCCAGTGTTTCCCAGGAAGCATTTCGTGGTAACCCTAACAACAGGTCAGGACCCCAATTAGCTGACAGCCCTGAGGGGACAGTTAATGCTGAGGGGGTGAGTAAAGTCTGCATGAGGGAATAGTAAAATACAAGTGCGGCCTTTTCAATTTATTGTATTTTCAAAACATATTGTCTAATTTGGGGCAATTATCCATTAGCATGAGGTGTAAAATAATGTTCTCAGACATGAAAAAGGCTAAAACTTTTTTCAAAAAGCTACGCTAACGTGCTACACCCGAAAACGTTGACCACAGATGCAGTGAGACAGATTTTTAAGTCTAGACATTGGAGGCAAAATATTTGCGGCGAGAGCTAAGGCTGTACCACATTTTGATGCAAAACACTTAAATAATGTCTAATGTCTGCACCCTTCCCCAAACACTAAGCCTCTTGATTTGATTACAACTAAAAGGCATACAAAGTGGTTTTTGTAACAAGATTCAAGGGGCAGGAGGACACCATCGTTGTCCGCCAAAAGTCGAGTCCAGTGTCTATGGAGTGTCATTTTGATTTGTTATAGTTTGGGAAGATTGAAAATCGGTAGGGAAAGCCAGCTAAATCAAAAGCGGTAGACTACCGCCCAAATCGGTAGGGTTGGCAGGTATGAACCATGCATTCTACCAGATATAAACTCAACGTGTCAGTGCACCACAGATACAAAATACTGATGCTAGTCACACGAAAAATATTGAAAAAGTACCTTTCCAGCACGCGGAAATGTGAAGCATGGGCCAAGGGAGAACCCAATAAATATTGTGAAGGATCCAGATTCGAAAAAACATGCATTCATTTTCAATCATGGAAACGGCCTTGGGTGAGGACTTCTATCATCTTATTGTTTATTTTGCCATCACAACAGCTCAACTACTACTGTCTGCCCTGTCGCTACACAAAGAACTCAAGACCTTCATGATTGCAAAACTATAAATGTCATCCAGAAAAAGGGAGAAGCGAAACCTCTGAATCGTTGTCATAAAACTATGGTGGATGTGTCTCCGCTACCTTTAGCCTTTCAGTCTGTTACATTAGCACTATTGCAACAAGTCTTAATATGTCAAGGTGAATGGCACATGTCCATCAATACACAAGGCCATTAAAGTCACAAAAAGTAGAGCCTTTTCCTGCCTGAGTGTTCATGATCCTGCTCCAAGATTTACTGCAAGTATTGCTTATTATGGCTTGTGAAAATAACTTGTGATCGCTACCCACTGCCTGTCCCTGAGCTCTGGGATTGGACAGCTGTTCTGCATACCAGAGTAAAGTTTGCTTTGAGGATGAACAAACTGTACAACCAAATGAATCTGACACACATGCATGAGTTCAAAGGTCAAAGAGCAAAGACCAGATTTCTGCAACACAGAGAACCAGTGGGAAAATCAGGCCAACACACACACACAACAACTTTACAAGCTTATTTTGTGTGCAGCTTGAAAGGAAATAGGCATGTTGTGCAATATACAAGTTGTAACCTGTAAACAGATATTTATCCCTTTGTATACAGGGGAATTGTAGTCCACATTGCAGTGCCCTTCTACTTTTTTTTTTATTCTGGGACCTCAATGTGTTATGTAGGTGTGGCAGTATCAGTGGAGAACCTGTGATAAAACATCATGCTAATACAAAACTACATTTAAAAAAAACTCCTGCAACAACTTTTGAGTCACTTTGCTAACTACTGCTGCAAGTATTTAAAGTAGTCAGCCTACATTTCAGCTTAAAAGTAAAGCCAGCGAAGTTGACAAGGCACTTTTTGAACAGCTTTTCAATGCAAACAGTTTGGTTCAAGTAGACAGGTTAATTTATTTCTGCTGGAACTGTTCTAGGAGTTGCAACACCTTTACCACGTTGACAGCAAGAAGCAAGTGCACACTCGAGAGGGGCATGGCTTGTGTTTAGGTCAATTGCACTCAATGACAGCCACACACACACACACACACACACACACAGAGTACTCACATGTAGGTGCTGTGTCGTTGACAGTAAAAGCCGGGAATCCCGCTGGCAAGTAACCGGACACCGAATGTAAACAGTCGAGTATCAGAGTGTGTTTATGTGTTGCTTCCCTGCGTGCTAACCTCACAACAGACACGCTGCTGATCGGAAAAGGAAGATAGGGGAGTTTTTATATACACACACACACACACAGGTAGGCTACACACACGGAGTGACTTAGGACAGCCGAGCGGGGCGAGTAGACACACGCGCAGCCACACACACACGCAAGCACACTCTTGCTCAGTGCCTCATATGTAGTTAAGGCGCTAGGACTCTGAAGCTAGTTGCTAACTGTCTACTAGAGCTAAATTAGCTAGCAGCTGGCACCGTCTGTCTCCTTCTCTCGGATATAGGAGTCTGCTACTGCGCCTGCCTCATGCTCCCTGTTAATCTCTCTCCCTCTGTCACCCCTCTCTTTGATGTGACGCAACCGGTCACGCCCCCTCTGCTCTCGACCACCAATCACAGAGAAGGACATGTTAGCACGCAACTAGCAGCAGCATTTAACAGTGTAATAATGGAAGGTAGGTTAAATGTACAAAGTTACTTTCCACACGGAGTATAATGTTATAGGACTCCAATCAATACATTTCTGGAACTGTTAGTAATATGACACAGGTGTTACCGATACCTTATAGCTCTGTGATGTTGAGGTTCCCAGTAAGTGTGACAGTGAGCCTGAGCCAGCATGCACAACAGCAGGACCCTGAAACCAAAGCTGCCACAGTCATAAATGTATGTTTATACATAATATATTCACAGTGTGAATAGTAGACCTACAATTCTCAGGTGAGGCTGAATTAATGCTAATGTTGTTCCATATGTGTATGTGTAAATAGGAAAGAAAGGTTTGCAAACAGATAGGTCATATTAACATAAATCACATTTTCCGCTCAGTTTTTGCAGGTCTTTCGGACTAAGACACTTTTATTATTTTAAGTTGCATGTGTATTTTTCCTGTTATGACATTTCAAAATGTCTGCTGTAATTTCCTACTAATTATAGGGAAATAGACGGTGTGTTCCGTTTGGAAACACACAGGCATGCAGTTTAACACAAGAAGGACATTTTACAATAAATAATTATGATGGTTAAATGTAGGCATTTCCATATGTTTAAATTGAAGTAAAAAGTTTGAGAGAAATAAAAAAGATCTGGGGTGCTGGAAACCGCTGAAAATGACAGGTTTTGATTACAGCCTCATAAAATGGTTCTTTGTGTCTTGTAAAGTGGACAATAGACTTCTATGCTTTTATCAGGAGCCATGCAACACAGAGAGAAAACTGTGAGGACACCACACCCTGCAAAAGACAAGCACTTCACCCTAATTGAAAGAGGAAATGCACTCTATTACATATTGTTGTTGTTGTGATATTTCAATGAAAATGGGCAGTTATGCCTGGAAGAAATGTGCACAGCCCCTTAGCTGGAAGTCATCAGTACTTTTTCAAGATTTGTAGTGTTGTGTAGTTGTATTTTTTGCACAGTATCTACGTTTACTTGTGGCGTTTTGGCAGAAGTCCAGAAACACACGCAGACACAATCACACCGCCGACGCTCGCAAAACAGAGGGCCTCATCATATAACTTTGCGTGGGGCCTCATGTTGGCCAGGGACGGCCCTGGTTGAAGTGCCCTTTAGATTGAACTTTGCTGTTATTACACCTTGCCAAGTGGGCCAACCACAGCGTGCCAGAATCACATCACCAGTGCTGCTGTATAGGTCACATTGCAACGAACTCAGAAGTATTTTTATGGGGCTCCTTCCCCTTCCAACAGGCTGTTAATATTAATCATGTCTTCATTTTGTGTACTTACTTAGTGTAAGAGTCAACATATACCCTCCAGGTGACTTTTCAACCCAAGAGGGACCGGTAAACAAAGCTTACATGACCCTCCTTTGTTGTGTAGTTATTTCGTTTTGTTACCTGTTTCTGTTACTTTTTAATGGTGATTAAAACAAGACATCTTAAAGGTCCCCTATTATACTGTTTTTCATCAATATATTATAGGTCTCAGATATATACAAAACATGTCTCTGAAGTAATTGGCTCGAAATACCAAACAGATCATGATGTGTAGCATGCCATAAACCCCTCTGTTTCAGCCCTGTTTCAAAAGTGCTGATTCTCTGTCTGTTACAGATGAAAATAAGGTGACACTCCAAAATGTGATCAGCTCATTTTCAGACAGGTTTTATATAAATGGATCAGGATTAAAGGTGAGCGAATCTTTTTTCTTGAAACGTTCAGAATCTCTTTACAGAGGGGACACATGTTTAGAAGACATGAAAAAGTGGATTTTGCATAATAGGAGACCTTAAAATAAAACAACATGATAAATGTTACCTGACCTGGTGTGCAAATAAGTCACCTGAAGACACAATACCAAAGTATGCTTCAATGTGTGCAACGGGTATTAAGTACTAAGCCCTTTAATCTTATGCAGATGCTTTAACAAACACAAGATATCAAGTGTCAGCAGCAGGCGTACATTGAATAAAACTTTAAGTAAAACATCATTGTCTTTTAGTTGTGGCTATTTTAGCTATTTCTGATTTACACATGGCAAGGCAAGGCAAGTTTATTTATATAGCACTTTTCAACACAAGGCAATTCAAAGTGCTTTACAAAAAATGAAAGAGATTAAGAAAATGGCATTTAAAATCAGTCATTAAAAAGAAAAGATAATAAAATAAACATTAAAAGAAAAAATACATGGATAAAAGTTACAGTGCAGTCAATTAAACATTAAAAGAAAAAAGTACATGGATCAAAGTTACAGTGCAGTCTAAGATATGAATAGTTCAATTAAAAGCAGCGACAAAAAGAAAAGTCTTCAGCCTGGATTTAAAAGTAGTTAGAGTTGCAGCGGACCTGCAGGTTTCTGGGAGTTTGTTCCAGATATTTGGAGCATAATAACTGAACGCTGCTTTACCATGTTTAGTTCTGACTCTGGGGACAGAAAGCTGAACAATATCTTTTAACTTCTGTTTATGAGGGTAAAAGTGTTGTCGTTTTAAGTGTAATACAATTGTCACATCAGTGAAAACTTGTTTTTACTTGTACAACTCTAGAAAAAAAAGGGAAAGGCAGCAGAAGAGAGAAAGTGGGGATGGGTTGTGCTCAGTGGACTGGCAAAGAGCTGCTCACTGTGAAAGGGGGAATGCTCAGTGCCTCCTCTGTTTATTCTCTGCCCAGTCCCCCCTTCCCTCACCGCATTGGTCTGATCTCCCTCTCCCCCTTTATATACGCGTTTGTCCTCGCTCCCTCTCTGAAAAAAAGCCAACATTCAGGACTGATCGCCACTCCCCCTCTGATGTCCTCCTCCTCTGAACTTTCCAATCAAAGTATGAGAATCCTGAACAACCTGTACTCCAAAACTACGCCCAACTCGTTCCCCATTCCTAATTTAGGACTGTTTACTAAGATATTGCTCTATATTTAAGAGGATAGTCACTTATTGTGTAGACTCATTCTCTATATAACAGAAGTGAGAAGTGTTAATAAAGAACCTGAAAAACAAATCAACGTCGGAGAGAAAAAGAGGGCAAACAAACTGTGCCTGACATGGTGGACTTTTGACAGAAGGAGGAACCGTTTGAAGGCTGATGTAACTTTTATCAGACACACACACAAATACGGTTAACACACAATGCTCATAAAAACACACAGATTCATTAAACGTTTGAAGACATACACATGGATCTGCTTGCTCAGGCTTTACTTTAAAGAAAATAATCCTATAAAGGACATGTGGCTTTTTATATACATATTAACAATCAGACTTACACACATACAGTATTGTTATCACTCTCAGTGGCAGTAACACTCGTGGAGATACGGGAACAAAGAAAGATGACACACCGCCTGGAGAAATGCACTGGAGCCACCGGATAGACAAGTATGACTGAAGTTTCATTACAGGTAAATGTAGCAGAGAAGAAAGTCAGTTTAAAGATTCTATACATAAGCATTAGCTAAATAACGTTGGACAAGATGGTATATTTTGGATATTCCTTGTTTGTTTCGGTCCTTACAAATAATGCTTAAATGCATTTTTGTTTATATGCCGAATTTTAGATGAACCCCAATTTGAATTCAGCAGTCCTACTTTCACTGACTGCTTCTTTTCCTGGCATCCTGCAGCACACAGTCACAAAAACACACAGTAGTTAACCATCAACAGGTAGATTCTGGGCTCAGACAGCTGTAAGAGAGGAGATGGTCTACCAGGGTCAATATTAGCCCATTATGGTGTTATATGAAAAACCTTTCAACAAGCTGTGTGTTTTCAAATGGCTGTGCTAGCTGTGTGTGTGTGTTCAAGGCAAGGCAAGGCAAGGCAATTTATTTGTATAGCACAATTCATACAGTAATGTAATTCAAAGTGCTTTACAGGATCAAACAGAGCAAACACAATACATTGAGAAGAAATACAAAACACACAAAATAATTAATTAAAAGAAAGAAAACCATGTTTAACAGTTCGAAAATTAGAACATTTAAATTTGAAAAGCCATATTAAAAAGAAATGTTTTTAGACCTGATTTAAATGATTCTAAAGTGCTAGCTATTCTCAGATGTTCTGGGAGTTTGTTCCATGCATTAGGAGCATAGATGCAGAAGGCTGCTTTCCCACGCTTTGATCTCACAAATGGAACAGTGAGCTGGCCTGCGCCTGAAGACCTAAGGGGTCTGCTGGGTTCGTACCACTGAAGGAGGTCCTTGTTATATTTGGGTCCTAGCCCGTTTAGTGCTTTATATGTGTGCATTAAAATCTTAAAATCAATTATCTCACTAACTGGAAGCCAATGCAGCGATCTCAGCACTGGAGTGATGTGATCTGTTTTCTTTGTCCGGGTTAAGATTCTGGCAGCAGCATTTTGAATTAGTTGGAGTTTACGGAGTGATTTTTTTGTGAGGCCTGTGAAGATGCTGTTGCAGTAGTCAAGCTTGCTAAAAACAAATGCATGGACAAGTTTTTCAAGGTCTTGCTTGGACATACGGTCTTTAATACGCGAGATATTTTTTAGATGGTAGTAGGCTGATCTGTTGATTGCCCTGATGTGGCTGTTAAAATTGAGGTCAGAGTCTAAAATTATACCTAAGTTTCTTGCTTGACTTTTCAGTTCGAGAAATAGTGATTCCAGGTGTGCAGAAACTTTAATTATTTCTTCTTTGGTTCCAAAAACAATTACTTTGTTTTTTTGTGTGTTGAGCTGTAAGAAATTACGGCACATCCAGTCATGTATTTGTTTTAGACATGTGATCAATAAATCAGTAGGACCGTATTCATCTATGGAAAGTGATATGTAGATTTGGGTGTCATCCGCGTAATTATGATAAGAAATGTTGTTATTTCTAATTATTTGAGCAAGTGGCAGCATGTAC